ACTTATTAATATACATAATAAGTCTTGTTTCTAGTATTATTTAAATACTGCATTTCTTCCTCAGAGTAGACTTGTTGTACACTTACCTGAGCCTGATGACGGCACCCTATAATTCAAATCCTTTTAGGGACATTGCTCGTGGATTTCGGGCGATCCATTTCGTGCATACGTGCTCAATGTTGTTTTTGCCAGTCCTGTGATTTTCATCCACAAGCAAGCTGAAGTCGGCATCCACGCACGCATGACGCACCTTTGAATACTACAAGATTTCAGGAAAAGGAAGCATCTCAGAAAGACGAATACACACCCCCACACGATTTCAGGGACCAGGTGTGTGCCATGCATGTCAAGCTCATGATCGACGATAAAAAATCTCATCCAAAGACCCAATCCAATCCATCCAAGTTGCCCATGCCAATGATTCACAAATAGTAGCATACCTACAATGCCAATAAGCTACTGCAATTTGTGAATAGCTTTGTCACGTTTAGTTTGGTCAGAACCCGGCGCATGGGCCTGCAGAGAGGAAGAGGTGCGGCACAGCTTTCGTTTTCCATGTCGCCCATGACGCCTCCTGCCTTTATTCAGCCAGAGATGTCTCAACGACTACCCTTGTTCAGCGTCTTCGGTTCCGTTGCCTGGGTTTGGGTGTTTGACATCATGGCAGCCTGCACTCAGAATAGTAAAGCTTTTCGGAGTGCACGTTGAGATTCTGCCGTGTTGTGGGAGCCCGTTTCAGCCAATAAATAGGTTATTTGGTGTGATGATCTGAATGGCCATGGATATGTACGTCTTTTATTAGGCATTTAGGCACGCCGATGTCTTGGACTGTTGTTAATAAAAAAGTAAAAGTATGTAAGGGGGTGAAAGGGAATGTTTATATGTCACTGACGGCACAATATATACATGCAGTTTCAGCCTTCTTCTTTTTTGTTTTGTTAAATGGACACCTTGGGTGGTCGTTGCATTGACTTTAATTTGAACTGTATATTTGATTAGATTTGGTGGTGCCGCCACATCCGTGAGGTCCGACGACATACCTAACATTTTGTTTTTAATATTCTGTGAGATCAAATGACCGTGAAACGACTTTAAGATGAATTACCACATTTCATGACACCCTTTACTTATTCTAATAGAATGTGGGGTGAGAAGATTAAGGCACAAGAATTATTGTCCACATGTGCAGGTAAGGATCTTGTGTGCCCATATGCATGATTAATCATGGTTTTGGTAGTTTTGATGACAACACAATCATTAGAACTAACATGTGTGTTAAGATGTGTTCATAGGTTTTCTAAAATTCTAGTGATGCAAGACATAAAGCAGAAAGAAAGATATCAAAATCGAGACGGGCACATGCTTTGTATGATATCAAATTGTAGAGATTTTACAAGCTTTCCACATAATATATGTTCATAAAAAACGGACTTTAGAGCTAGGAGACATGGTAGAAGATAGTTTGCTAAAACAGTACCACTGTGTGGTTCAGTGCTTACTGTTTTTAACTAGTGGATCATCGTATCATGTCCAGTAAACAGTGTACAGAATTTACATAGTACCATAGTATGGTGTTAGTGTTCATGGTTCAGCGGATCATTTGGTGATGTCCAGTGATGGTGCACGGAGCTCACATAGTACCACGCTATAATCTATTGCTATTGTTCTATGCTACAGCACATCATTTGGTGCTAAAAAAAATGTGACCGTTAAGCAACGACTAGAGAGCTTGATTGGAGATATTTATACCCCTCAAACCAGCTTTTTAAGGGTGTTAGATATCATATAAGCTAGAGGGATTTGCTACACTTAAGATAAATCATCCTCATATTAGAGCTTAGTGATCATATTAAAGGCACAATAAGATAAATTAGAGATTGATCAGTGCTGTTTAGAGATATATTTGAGTTGATCTCTTGTAAGCTTGTGCAACGGTACCTTGGGGCTATTGTGGCTCATTGGCAACGACATTGATCCCAGGAGCTTGGTGTGGAGCAGAAGTGACTTGGTGTGCAGGCAATAAGAACATCCCTTCCTAAGTGAAGATGCTTCATAGTAAACAACACTTTTGTGACCAAGAGAGTTGGGCAACAAGTGTAGAGCCTTAATGGCTTACGACACCTGCCTTTGTTGGCAGTGGTTTTTGTGGCTTGCCTAACACCATGATCGGGGTAAAGCTTGATGACCAAGAGCATATTCTTCGGGGACCTCCAACGTGGGCCAGGGGTTGTGTTTTCACAATTGATACCATTGGATAAATATTGGTCTCCAAGAGTTCACCCTCTCATGACTTGCTCTTTACCTTATGCATTTTAGCTTCCACATTTTGCTTCGCTTAAGTGAACCAAACCAAAAGAGGAAGGACCATCAATTATATCCAAAAATCATGGCAAATTCATCTCAACATTTGGTTTCTTAGGAGCTTCCGAAATCAGCATTATCTTGCACTTTATGCACCATATCTCTACAGGGTGATTTGCCTATATCCTTCCTTGTTTTTTGTTGATGATCTAATATCCCCAAACCAAGGATGTGCTTGTAACTTGTTGGTTGACATCAAATGGGATCATCAATTGTCTGGGGAAAGGATCCCCGACCCAAAGGAAGTTGAGCATAGAAAATACATTTGTATAATGTCATACACAGGTGATGAATGATGGACATGTGTGCTCCATGGACATTCTCGAGGGACCAACTCTGGAATCAGAAAAGCAAGGTTCTATGGATGAGCATGGAAGTTTCATTCTTGATGAGCCACAAGACCCATGCTCACACAAGAATCCTCTAGAGTCAATAAATTGTTGTGTTAATGGTGCTTACAAGAGTTACAATCACTCTAAGCTCTAGGTTCATAAAAACATAAAAAGGATGGTTGTGGATGCTTTTGTTTACCATAAATATTCCAAACCTCATAATTTCTTTGGCACAAAATGTGGCTAAATCTGCAAAAGTCAAGCTTATGACTTAAAACAAAGCACTACTTGGAGATAACTCGTTTTATCACCGTTTTTAATTCAATAAACCTTCTTTAGTTTCTATCGTACAAAAGTTTTATTTTCTATCAAGTAAAATGAATCTATAAAATGAGCTTAAGGAGCTAATGGTTGAATATGTTCTGTTTGGGTAATTTTGTCGCTAACCATTCTAAGTTGAAAACAAAAAGAATGAAGAGTCAAAACACAAGGCTACCTCAACTAGACATCATTAAGCAATGGAGCACATTCAAGGAAGAATTAAACATCTAAGCTTGATTCTTAGCATTAAGTCTTGCAAAATCCACGTGTGGGTAGTGGAATTATGTACATGCCCCGTACCATGCTTCATCCATTGCCTAAATATTGTATTGGTTTAGTTTTTGCTAGTCCCTGCTTTCTCCTTATGTTCAATTGTTTTACTAGTGAAAAAAATAGTTGCCTTTTTGTTTCTAATAAAATGGTGCCAATCTAATATTAAGGTGTAGTCATGATTAATTGTTGCATCAACCGATGTATTCATACATTGGTTGGATCTATAGTATGCATATATGAATACCATGTACCAAAACCTTTTGAATAAGCATAGGATAGGAAGCAACAAATCTGATCCAAACAGGCTTGCTAAGCCTAACTAACCTTTTTAATCATAAAACAAAATCAGCGTAGCCAAGCTTTTTATTTATAATCATAGAAACTAAAGAAGCTTTATTGATGATAAAAAAATTCAGCCTAGCTAAGCTTCTTGATGACACAATTTTGATTCTTTCCCGTGTATGGTAGAAGAAGGAATTCAAACCAGGGGACAAGGTATTGACGTTAAGTTCAAGAGTAAGGCTATTCAGACATGGAAAGCTTAGAAGCAAATGGGACGAGCCATTTGAAGCCGTCGGCACAACATCACATGGAGTCGTCACACTTCAAAGCAATGAAAGTAACATCTCTAAGATAAATGGTCAATGGTTTAAAGGCTACCTCGAACCCAAAACGCATGCAAATAAAGAAGTCGATATGATTGAATTTGTACGGTTTGTTAATAATGCCCAAACTTAACATTTCAATGGTTTCCTTCTTTCTAATTATAATCATAACCAAGCTTTTTAGATTCTTGTTACCTGAGCTACATAAGTATGTACAAAATATTGTGGCATGTTAGGACACCTTGGGACATCAGCCGACCATCCATAGGTTCCCTCGACCTAGCCCTAGATCGCCTGACCTGCACGAGCACAGATCATCTCCAAACTTTTGTACACATCTTGCTTTATATTTTTCTTATCTTGATCCAACAAAGGAGGAGTGGAGAGGGGAATGTTAGGATTCAGTGATAACATTTTGCAGGCAGGTGCGAGCCACACCACATGCAGGAAGACCGATGGTTGGGCACCACGCCACCCATGCAAGCCCATGTGCTATTGAGCCCAAAGAAACACATATGGTCAACCTGTGTCATCCGGTGCTGGCTAGTGGCCAGCAGCCACATGGCTTTGCAGGCCTGGCTCATCAGCATCAAGGAGAGGAGGGGGTGAGCCGGCTAGGCTACTTGTAATATATATTTTATGTCCACAAGTTATCGTCATCTTCTTTTCCTTCTATGAGCTCGGTGCCAACTTCTTCCTCAAACCAGTGTGATGCTGCTCCCTCACTACTACTGATAGGCTTTGTAGGGGCGGCTCATGGGCATTTGTAGGGGCGGTTTGGCCAGCCGCCCCTACCAAAGCATGGCTACAAATCACCGATTTGTAGGGGCGGTTCCTAGACCGCCCCTACAAATCGATTTGTAGGGGCAGTTGGTGTTATCAGCCGCCCCTACAAATCAATTTGTAGGGACGACTGGTAACACTAGCCGCCTCTATAAAATCGATTTGTAGAGGCGGCTATAGTACTAGTCATCCCTATAATACCTGTTTATAGAGGTGGTTCAGTCTAGAACCTCCCCTACAGTATATTTTTCTGCCAAAAAGAATTCAAATTTACAATTCAAATTCGACTAGAACATATATTTTTCATGCATAGCTCCATCATGACTTATCTTCTTCTGCGATTGTACTGAAACTCAAATATGAGGTTTGGTCCACTAGGTGGATATTTTCCATGAACATTTCCAATGCAAACTGCTAGAGCATCAATGCTTGTCTCATCAATAAATCTCTCAACCTGTAAATATGTACCATGAAGGCACAGAAATCCTTAGAAATAGGCAAAAGTATCTCAGTAGAAGGCCACTCAATTAATATTATTGTAGAAGAACACACCTGGGCAACATCAGTAAATCTTGCTTCATATTCTTCAACGGTCAGGCCATCTTCGAAGCCTGAGAGCCTACCCAACTCAGCTTCCACAAGTAAACCTTTTGCATGAGGCAAGGAAGTTATGCTCTTTGTGTAAATCAAATCCCTACAAATTCAAGGGTCACGACATTGACCAAGAAAAAAACTCAAGATTAATGGTTATGAAATAAACTTGCATCTCATCTTTGGTAATGCATATTTGAGGAAACCCGGATCTTCACATACCGTTTCAAGAGCTTGAAGCAAGTCTGACTTGGAAATGCCGTGATCATAGTGAACACTGATAGGCACCTGTGATAAGAGAATCACATAATGTGAACACTAGAGTTTTCAATTTATTCAGATAATTGTTAAACATGTGGTTTATTTAGGAGTACAGATAGTTGAATTTGCTCTCTTTGAAAACGGTAGATTCTCAAGTTTCTCTTACACTGGATTGTTCTGCAGCAGCAATGCAACATGCTACCAATGGGACTCCACCTTGCTTCAGAGCACTGGGGTGAATCTAAACAGCAACCACAGCAATTAAGATAAAGACTCAAGATAGTATATGTGATATACTAAATTTTCATATATTCATTAACAATGCTATATACTATATTTTCATAATCAAGAGCTACGTGGTACTGCTTTCAAAGAACCTGCAGGATAGCAGGAGCTTCATTTCATTAAGAAGAGAAAGAGTACAGAGCACCGAACTACAAGGAACATCACCAGAACACTACAATGCACATAGACTCGCTACTCACAAATAAGCTACATTTATTCATCTAACAATTATGAACCCCCCAAGCCCCCACATGAATATTGCAGGAAAGAAAATAAAAGGCATGAGAACCTAACGAGTTTAATTATGTTTTCTGCATTATGTGATTTTAGGAAAATAAGCATATTGAAGTTCCTAACCTGCAGGAAAGCAGGACTCTTTTCAGCCTCTGTTGTTGCAACAACAGCTTCAATTCCCTCAAGGTTATACACATTGAAAGCACCAACAGCATAACCGCCCTTCTCCGCATTCTTTACAACAAGAAAATAGTTAAAGGAAAATTTAAATCCGATAAGTGGTCCAGAAATTAACCTTGACAAGACTTTAAAATGTTGAGAATCTTACGAGAAGTTCTTTTGTAGAACTTCTAGATGGGGAAGCCCAACTTTTCACCACTTTAGCAAGAGCACTATTATCACCAACATTACCTGTTTGAGGGGCACGATGTTACCTTGAGTCAAAAGGTTCAATTATTTCTGTGTTAGTGTGGAATAACTAAAATGTTTAATACTAGGAAAAACAATGTAAGGGGCAGCCGCTGGAGGATCTGGGGCGAGGGGAGCAGCAACAACAAAAGAAATGGTACTGATCAGCAGGGGCAATGTATACTAACCTCCAAAAATAAAGGTAAATGTAGTACAAAGAGCACAATATATACTAACCTCTAAATTGTACTGACCAGCAGGGGTAGTGTAGCTTAAGCTTAAATGTGTTAGTTGATGTACCAGAAGGACAAGACCAAAACATATAAGGAATAAAACAAAGAGGATAGATCTGTAGCAAACCGAAATAGAGGGACCCATTGCAGCCACCCAACTATGAATCTGTGCTGAGTAAATACATCATTGGCAATGGGGTGCGCTCAGCAATATAACAACCAGCAAATTATGTGGATCAAAGACATCATTGACAATAGAATTATGATTAGTAACAAACGCACAAAATGTAGCAACCAATAAAAACAAAACAACACATGCAAAAGAGAACTGCTGAGCCATAATGACATTGCCATCACAAAACTGATGCAAATAGCAAGAATCAAGGAAGAATGAAATAATCATTCATCATTGCACAATTCCATTGTCTCAGTAAAAAAATTCATCATTGCACAATCCCAAAACCTCAGTAGATAACATGAAGAACGAAATAACTAATCATCATTGTACAATGAAGGATATCAGTTTTGCACATGATCTGCACATTTAAAAACAAGAGAACGGCAGGAGCCAACGGGCTCCTAGGAGAGGGGAACAAGATTCTTGCAGTGCGAAGAGAGAGCTAAGGGAGGGGAGGGGGGAGAGAGTGCACCTCCACCATGCGCAATAGGCCACATGATCTGCACATTCAATATCAGCTGAACACACACCGCAACCGATGTAGAGCTGTTATTCTAAAAATGATGAAATCTCTTAATAGTAGCACGAAAAAGGCGTGGGATCTAATTTGGTTGCTATGAGGACTTGTGAGTGATGCCATGGTGCCTATGCGGATCAACATGGCAACACGTAAGTTATATAGAGATAACTTAGACATTACCAATTTCGAAGCATGATAAATTCAGCCCCAAACATAAAATTTGAACAAGCTGGTAACAATAGTGACTACCTGCTTGGCCTGAAACAGATATGGTCCACCCAAAATAAAATACACTCAAGACAACCACCAAGTCAGATGAAGCAAATAGCTATGTGAGAACTAAGAGTTGTTCTAGATTTAAGCAGTAGCTAAGTACACATTAAAAATATCTATTGATTCAAAACGGTATGCACATGAAGAAAGACCAGGAAACCTGCAACCAAATTTGTAGCGAAAAGATGAGGATAGGCAGCTAGGGTTTCCTGTAGCACAGGCGCATAGTTCGTGTGCACATAGATCGCCGTCCATAGTGAAGGGGAGCGAGCCTCCACGAACGCTAGGAGAGGGAGATCCGGCAGGAAGAGGTAAGGAGAGAGAGAGGGGGGACCAAACCGAGGAGGGGACGATGCGAGGACCGCAGGGAGCAGGCTGCGCCGGGGGGCAGCCACGCGCTGCGGCTAACGGCGGGGCTCGCGGGCGCCGCGTCGTGGCAGGAGGCGGCCACCACCGGCCCCGTCGGCGCAGCTGCGGCGCACACCAGTGGCGCCGCCGCCCAGGCCGTGCGCACGTGGAGGTGCCCGCGCCGGGTGGGGCCGGTGCGCCACCATGTCGAGAGAGAGAGAGGTAGAGAGGGAGAAGGAGAGGGAGAGGGAGGGGAGGCGCGGGCGGGGGAGGGGACGAGGTGCGAGCGGTGGAGGCGGCGCGCCGCGAGAGGAGTGCGAGCAAGCCGAGCGGGAGGGGATGCCGCGAGTGGGAGGGAGCCCATTTTTTTGCGAGAAAGGGAGGCATCAATTTATTTAGGGTGAATTGGGGCGACGTGGCTTGCTGGTAGCAGGAGCGGCTCGTAATACCAGCCGCCCCTACAAATCGACGCATTTGTAGGGGTGGCTCATATTACCAGCCGCCCCCTAGTGTTCCATTTATAAAGGCGACTGCTGTGCTGGAGCCCGAGCACGCCACTGTAGGAGGGGCTCCAATGCCAGCCGCCCCTAAAAGAACCCCGTTAGTACAAACTGTTTTTCACGTAGTGCCTTCTATTGCATCAACGTGGCATCTCTTCACTAGCCTTCACATGATCACCGTGGTACAACTTTTTCTTGAGAGCACATGGTTGAGATGTGCCCATGTATGATGTGATGATGGGTAATTGTTAAGGAGCTGATCAAGCTTTGGTTTAGTGTTGAGACTAATCATAGCGTGAGTATGGTGTTGTGCAACGGTATTACAATATATCATCTGTAATAATAATGTTCCTCAATTAATTGGCTAGATTAATAGAAAAAAAATGTACCTGGAGGTACCACCGGTACTTTTGCAACCAAAGATTTATCAAGGATTCAATGGTAGTATTTTTCAATGGTAATTGACGTACCCATAATCTGCTCCAATGTCCAATTGGTGATTTTTGTTGCCACAAAGCAAGGGCTATATATTCACTTTTGGTTTCTTTGTGTGTATGGTTATCTTGCAGGCAATGGAACCGCCCTGGTGCTCTTCCTCTCCCCAGTGTAAGAAAAGAATCAGTTCATTTATAAGAGTACTCTTAAATATTAACTAATAATAACAAACAAATTACAGAGCACATATACTCATAACACGTGTCTATATGCGTATATACGTCGCACAACCAGGCCTACGTTCATCCGCATCTGGAAGAAGGGGTCCGTGGAGCAGTATACTCGCCGGTGCCGTACGTGGCGACCCTCCTGAACTGCATGATGTGGGTGTTGTACGGCCTGCCTGCGGTGCACCCGCACAGCATGCTGGTGATCACCATCAATGGCACTGGCGTGGCCATCGAGGTCACCTACATCACGCTCTTCCTTCTGTACTCCACTGGCGCTACCCGGCGTCGCGTTCTCCTTCAGCTGGCAGCCGAGGTCGCCTTTGTCGGTGCCGTCGCCGCGTTGGTGCTCAACCTGGCGCACACGTATGAGCGCAGATCCATGGTCGTCGGCATCCTTTGTGTGCTTTTCGGCACCGGCATGTACGCCGCCCCGCTCTCGGTCATGGTACGTGCCACGTGCTACTAATTAGGTTTGAGACTTATATGGCCAAATAATTGGGTTGGTCAGTTACTCAGTTTGCTCAGGTTTTCTCTGAATCATTTCAGTATCCTCCTTCAATAACCTGTGACATGGATATTGATCGTGTATTTTTCTATGTGTGCTTCTCTTCCATGACTCAGAAAATGGTAATCAAGACGAAGAGTGTGGAGTACATGCCGTTGTTCCTGTCGCTAGCCTCCCTGGTGAACGGCATCTGCTGGACTGCATACGCGCTCATCCGCTTCGACCTCTACATCACCGTAAGTTAATATAGATATAGATTAAGATTATTATTAGAAGTATGATGCATTTCATCTCCTGTCAGAGAGTAAGTTTAATGAAGGACGGTTAATTACGTTCTCTTTGTTAAATTTGCTCAGGTCCCCAACGGGCTGGGGGTGCTGTTCGCGCTGGCACAGCTGGTCCTCTACGCCATCTACTACAAGTCCCCCCAGGAGATCATCGAGGCACGCAAGCGCAAGGCCGACCAGGTCGCCATGACCGAGATCGTCGTCGACGGCAAGCCCAGCAACGCCGGCCACTACTGATGATCAAAATGCTAAGCATTCCAGCCGGCCGCTATCAATTAGCATGCAGCAGGATGTTATGTCTTTCCGTCTTTCATTCCCAATCTCAACAGAGACGAACAATAAGCCTGTGGGATATTGTTTTTCTTTTTTAGCATAAATAGACGGCAGGACGGTGCTCTGCTTTTTTTCATTTAGTAGGAAGCAAAGTACAACTTTTTACATGATGATCAGTGAAACAAGAAATGAAGAAAAAGGTCGAATTACAACACATGACGCCTTCTACTTAGTGTTTCTGCCCATCCACTCTGCTTCGTCGCTAGCGAGTCTGAGCATTACAAAGTCTTCTTGAATGGCCTCCAGCAGCTTTTGTGCGTCTTTCACCTTGTTTTCAAAGACTCGTCGGCATCTTCCTCTCCATAAATTCCAGGCTGAATATTCCCTCAAAAAAAAATTCCAGGCTGAATACACTGCAATAACATAGTCAGCGAATTGGGTTTCACTGGCCTCCCTGCCTAATGATACAATCCGCTGTTGGTAGTCTCCACTGGAGTAGGAGGCAGGTGAACAAGTGACATTTTGGCTCCACTTTTAATTTCCAAAATTCGAGCCCAATCATGATCAGCAAAGGATCCAATGAATAGTGTGTTCGTATGCTGACTTTGCCGAGTACAGTCCGGAAGCCTCAAAACGCCAAGTGATGTCCTCCACTCCAGGTCCTCTAGTCTTCTTGTTCGTAACTGGGTCCATAATCCAGCGAACTGGTGTAGTTCTTCTTCCGTGTTCATGCGGTGTAGTACGGTACCCGCATCAAGCGCCTTCCTTGCAGTGCTGCTTGTTTTAGACAATTATCCTTCCCAAATTTTGCTTTCTATTCGTTTCCTAGCTGAATGCTTGTGCATCTTCTAAAAAGTTCTTCCTCAATCTGGCTTGTTTGAACTGGCAGCAGTCGTGCGCACGGCTTGTTTGGACTAACCCACTTGTGCCAAAGGACTAACCCACTTGTGCCATAGGACTCCTCGGTAGCACGACTCCCCTGGCAGCTCCCCCGCGACTCCTCGCAGCGTGACTTCCGGGCGGCTCTCCCGCGACTCCCAGTGGCGTGACTCCCGGCGGCGGCCCCGGTGACTGCCGACGACTCTCCATCATGACTCCGGTTCCTAGCGTTCAGGCTAAGTAAGTCAATGATAAGTGTGTCCCACGTGTCATTCTGAAATGAAATGAGCGTTGATATTTTTTAACGTAAACAGAAAGAATCCACGAACGCACGGAATTACCGTTGTAGCTTTCATTCGAAAGTATTTAGGGTATCGTATTTTTCATATGGAACGGAGGTACTTCTTGTAGCTAGTTCGTCTAAGGACAACATAAGGGTAAAGTTGGCTAGGGTAGAGATGGATTCCTATGACTTTTGGATCTTATGGATAGATAAGCTCTGCTACTTTGGGCACTGTTTATCACCTAGTCTACCAAGCAATGCCGGCCTGTAGCTCTACACCGAACCCAAGCATGGAGGATTATAAGGGACGGACAGGGCTGTCACCACCTGCCGCCTACCTCTCAATCATGGGGCACGAGACAAACGAAGATAGCCTCTAGCCTAGACACCACGTCGACGCTATCGACTACTACTCTAACGTCGCGCAGGGTTCTCCATCTTTATCAGGGCCCTCTACTAGAGTATCCACTATAAGAACGGACGACGAACCCACAAGCAAATAAGAACAAAGCTTAACTAATCAAAAGACTTATAACCATAAGAATCACAAACACTTACTTAGCTGGAGAACCCGTTGAGGTAAAAGTGCTCGTCGAGGTACAAGTTAAGGAGACATCGACAAACCCGGCGCTTCCCCAAACTCTTCCTCACATCTCTCCCTACTAACTCTACTAGCTATCTAGGGCCTAAGCCCTTGGAGTGAAGCTCAAAAGTGGAGTGCTCTTCCTAGGAGTTGTTGTTCAATGAGGGGCGATGGTCCTCCTTTTATAGGTGGAGAGGAGGGGATGTCCATGGAATATTGCCATCATAAAGCCACCAAACCGACGTTTAGGTACATTGAACTTCGACCAATCATTGGCACCGATGTTGGGCAAGATGGTAAGTGCCAACCGACCAAAGCTTGGGCCAAACGGGCTAGGTGGGGGTGTGGCCACACCAATGGTGTGGGCGCACCCTTGTTGGGTTGTCCTGGCTCTGCCTTTGTCTAGCAGGTCTCTAGTATTGTCTGGACTTGGCCCATGGGTGTTTGGCGCATAGTCAAGATGGTTTGCTTCGGTTTGGGCCTTATTCTTTTCATCTTTGGGCCCTAGTTTTGCATAGTAGTGGGCCTTCTCCCCTTTGCCTTGCATAGGATGGTATTTGTCGATGAAATATGGTTGGCAGTTTACTAAGGTTATGCCCACGGTAGTAGATGAATCGGTGGAGGTGCGTGAGATACGAACTAGATGGTGACACAGACGCAGAGACAGCGATTTAGGCAGGTTCAGGCCGTCAAGTCGATGTAATACCCTACGTCCTGTGTCTTTGGTGGATTGTACATTATGATGAGATGAAATTGAGGGAGTCCCTACCCGCCTTGTATAGCATGGAGGGTAGGGTTACAGGTCAGTTTAATCTACCCTGATCGGTTTACATGATAAGCGTTACAAGGATTGCTGTATCTTAGCATATCCGATCAAATCTTCTTTCGTCATCAAGGATTCTTCACGTAGTCTTGCGGTGTACGCCGACCTGTGCCGTGCACTGCGCGGCTTGATCTCATGGGCTGGTCCCCCCTGACGGCGCGGCCCATGTACAGCCCTATGGGTATCCAGGGTTATACTCCCACAGCTAGTCCCTAAGCGCCTTGTATCTGTTGAGCAGCACCGTCTTGAGCTTGTCCGAGCAGTTGAGCACGTAGCCGGTCGACGGTAGCAGGCATCCGACCGGTTTAACTAGGAGCCAAGCAGTCGAATCAAGCGTCCGACCAGTTTAACTGGGTGGCTGACCACAAACTTACTCAAGTCTAAGGTTTGCTAGAAGGATGTAAGAAGCTCAAGTTTAATTTTTTTTAATCCTTCACCTTAGGTGAAGTGTGCGCACATAGGTTCCGCGCGGCCAAGTTAGATGCTTAGCATCCCTGACTTAGTCAGTACGGAGGAACTTAGTCCCTCATGTACGAAGATAGATGCTTATCATCCATGACTTAGGTAAAAGGGGGCTCTTAGAGCCAAAATGAGAGCTTTGGTCATTCTCATCCATGACTTAGTCATTTAGAAAAGAAGTGGGCCCTAGAAATAAGAGAATTCACCTTAAAGTGAAGTATGCCCACTTAGTCCCCGAACCTGATAGTAGGTGAAGTATTCACATGGTGTCAGGGTCAAAAATAGTATACTACAGATGTCAAACCCGTCCCTAGCTTAGTTGGAAACCAGTCATAGAAAAATAGTTCAGTTATCACTAGATGACGTGTACACACGTAGTCCCTGAGCCTACTGGAAGATTGAGGAGAAATCTTGTAGTAGGATCAAAGAAAAAATGCTTGAAAATCCAAAAACGTTGATGAAACGGTGCTTAGCGCTTAACTTCATTTTACATCCCATGCGCAATATGGCCTTGATTGTGTATTGTACTAGGCCCATTTAGTGGCCCAGGATCACGCACGAAGAATTCAGAAGTGAAGCGGTGCGGCGGGGCGCGGTTTTCCAAAAACCTTGGAAGTCGAAAGGTTAGGGTCGAATTAATATAAATCCACCGTGGCTCCAGCGCACACTTCCCATTTCTCTGTCGCGTCCTCTTCTTCCTTATGCACGCACCTCCTCATCTGTAACCGCTCCGCCATTAGGGAAAACTCAAGCACGAAACAGTCTCTGCCTCTTTGGATCTACCCGATGGGGCCGAAGAGAAACCGCATAGGCTTGAAGAAGGGAGCCCGCAGGACCAACCATGATGAGGAGTGGGTGCGTTCAACCTGTAGCGAGGGAGCCCTCAATAGTCTAGTGGTGCACGACGTCCTCCCCAACAAGGCGACTGGGCGGTGGTGGCATTCGACGGCCGGTGAGGAGTTTCTGACACCCCACACCAACGAGTTGGTCGTGTTTGAAGATTATTTCTTTCATGAATTTGTCATTCCTATTCATCCTTTCCTCCACGGTCTGATTGCCTATTATGGCATCAGTATTTGCAATATTTGCCCAAACTCCATCTTGCATGTTGCCATCTTTATCGATCTTTGCGAATCGTTCCTTGGAATCCTCCCCCATTTTGATCTTTTCCGCCATCTCTTCTGCCTTAAAGTCAAGGGGGGAACTGGCTCTAGGGTGGTCGGTGGAGCTTATCTATAGTTGTGGGACAGGATGATGAGTTAGTACATCGTCGTCCCCCTTATCACGTCTGTGAAGCACTGGAACTCCAGGTGGTCTATATCAGGCAAACAGAGCCATTTGTGTAGTGTGATGTGGATCAGGTCCCGGTGAGCAACAAGAGTTGGTTGGCGAGGCCCAATTCAAACGGTATGGAGTAGGTGAGGGAGATCCTGACTATCTTGAACCACAAAAACTTAATGGAGTCGTTGTGGTGACAAACTTCATTTTTCGACGAGTTCAACCCCATAAAAGAGGGCGCATACTAGATATGAGTTCCAGGGAGAGACCGACAGTACTCACGAAGTGCCTAAGTAGATCAATCGGGATGAAGTCCTTTGTCGCGTCGTGATGCTTTTCAACGTCATGGTGCATGTTGCGATCAAGGATCCCTAGAAGTCCTTCAACATCACGAATCCTCCTCCGGTGGTAATCATCTAACTGACGTGCATGCTTCTTCTGTAACATTGCATGATGTATTCATTCATGTTTTTGAAGATTCATGGACAGGATGAATGCCCGACCGCAGTTGATGCCCGACCGAGCAGTCCCCACCATCAGTCTAGCTAGGGGACTAACGAGGTGAGGTCGACCGGCCCTAGAGATGAAGACGAAGATGAGCGGACCACCTATGTCCGTGAAAATGTTTGGGGGAAATGGTCAGCGGGAGATGAGCCGTA